GCGCTAAGGCGAGTAAAACGCATGCAATGTTTTAGGACGAATGTGCGTGGCTCTAGGGGGATAGTCACATTTTGAGACGGAGCGGCCCTCAATCCGTGGACCTCTTGGAATTTTTCTGACGAGTGTGCGCGGCGCTACGGCGAGAGCCACATTTTGAAAATGACACGCCTTCCATCTGTGAAGCTCTTACGATTGTTCAAGGGAATGCGCGCGGCTCTAGAGCGAGAGCCACATTTTTGAAACGACCTGCCCTCTATTTGTGAAGCTGCTGCCAACTTTACGCTTCAGAAGCGTAAGTTGTATGGGAGTCTCAGGCGAAACGCCCGGCCCGCCCTTCCGACTGGCCTCGGGGTATGACAGGGGGGAGTTGTTAAGATGAAAAACGAATGGAGGAGGGGGAGGTGAAGGAGGAGGAGGAGCAGGAGGAGGGATGGGGACGGGGAGGGGGAGGGAGGGCTGAAGGGAGGGAGGGATGAGGACGGGACGGATGAGGAGGAGGAGGAGGAGGAAGAGGAGGAGGAGGAGGAGAAGGATGATGATGATGATGATGATGATGATGATGATGATGATGATGATGATGATGATGATGATGATGATGATGATGATGATGATGATGATGATGATGATGATGATGATGATGATGATGATGATGATGATGATGATGATGATGATGATGATGATGATGATGATGATGATGATGATGATGATGATGATGATGATGATGATGATGATGATGATGATGATGATGATGATGGATGATGGGATGATGATGATGATGATGATGATGATGATGATGATGATGATGATGATGATGATGATGATGATGATGATGATGATGATGATGATGGAGGAGGAGGAGGAGGAGGAGAGGAGGAGGAGGGAGGAGGAGGAGGAGGAGGAGGAGGAAGACGAACCCGCCCCGGGGGACAGGGGGCCTCGGGACGAACCAGGAAGACCTCCTCCAGGTCAAACACCAGTCGTAGTGGGTTAATAAGCATCGGCCAGCGTGTGATAGCTTTTGGTCTGGGCAGGACCTGTTCGGAGGAAAGGGTGATGAAGGAGGGGGGAGATATGAGGGGGGAAGGATGACGGATGCGGGGGGCAGGCAGGAGGGAACAGGGGAGGAACAAGTGGAAGGAGGGGGAATGGTGGGAGGGAGGAGGGGATCGGGAGGGAGGAGGAGGGAAGAGGCCCCCCTTGGCCAACCGACCCCGTGTGTGTCCGTGAGGTTTTGGCTGCCGGCCCGGTATGTTTGATTAGCCAGTGTTTGACGAATACGCTTCTCTGCAGCGAGCGAGGAAACAGTCTCTCTGCACTGCCCCTCCCGGACCTGTTCAGTGGCACCGCAGCGGAGCTTCACTCTCGAAAGACGGCCGGAAGTTGACGCTTTCGGACCCCTCTCGGGCAGTCCGACATTGCCCGCAACAGGAAGGTCAAAGTTTAGGCTCTCTGGTTCGCTAGCCAAAGTGGCCCTGAATTAGTTCAGTCCCCTGAGACAATCAGGGACCCAGAAACCAGGGCATTGCTGTCCAGGGCTCTGCCAGATCTGGCTGGAAATGCCGAGGCATGCAGTGGCGGCAGTTTTCTCCCGGGGGCTCCAGTGGCCAATGTCCTGGCTTGTGCAGGTTCCTCTTTTTGGGGTTGGAGGGTTTCTCCGAAGGGCTTGGGCGACCCGTCCTCCTCCTCCTCCTCCTCCTTCTCCTCCTCCTCCTCCTCCTCCTCCTCCTCCTCCCTTCTCCTCCACCTCCTCCACCTCCTCCTCCCCCTCCCCCTCCCCCACCTCCTCCTCCTCCTCCTCCTCCTCCTCCTCCTCCTCCTCCTCCTCCTCCTCATCCTCGGGTCGCCTAAGGCCCTGGGGGGAACCGTGCAATTGGGATGCCCTGAGACGATCAACGCGAAGGTCTTTTTCCGCTCTTGGACTCCAGAGGCTGTTTCGAGGCTCCCAGGCCATCAGGCTCCCAGGCGATCCGGAGGAGGAGGCGGAGGAGGAGGAGGAGGAGGAGGAGGAGGAGGAGGAGGGAGGAGGAGGAGGAGGAGGAGGAGGAGGAGGGAGGGAGCGATCTGTGACGAGAGGATGGCCTCTGGGCAGGGAACCGTTGGCTCTCTGGCTGCGTGCTGAACAGCTCGGAACACCGGAGGCCCGTACCTCCTCCGCCGCCTCTCTCCCTCCTCCTCTCCCCTCGTGCTCAGCGCACAGCTCCGGTGCGGCGCGCGGGGAGCCGAGTGGCGCCACCACAATCCGTTCTTGCTTTCTGGGGCTGTCCAGGCTGCTGCTCAGCCCTTTTCTCTTGGCATGTCTTGGCATGCGTTGGCATGCGTTGGCATGCGTTGGCATGCATTGGCGTGCATTGGCATGCGTTGACGTGCATTGGCATGCGTTGACATGTGATGGCATGCGTTGGCATGCATTGGCATTGGCCCTTTTCTCTTGGCATGTCTTGGCATGCGTTGGCATGCGTTGGCATGCATTGGCATGCATTGGCGTGCATTGGCATGCGTTGGCATGAATTGGCATGCGATGGCATGCATCGGCAGCCCTCCCCGCGTGCTACCCCTAACCTGGGCAGCCAAGTCGTCCTTGTGGGGGCTACTAGCCAGGGCGAGCTCTCGCTAGCAACCCCTACTAACAGGCTGCGAGTTGGGGTGCAACCCAAGCAGACCTGGCAGTTTGGTCAGTGATCCTCCTCCACCCCCCTCGGCGGCACAGCGGCAACGACGGCGACGGCGACGACGGCGATGGCGACGCGCCGCCGCCGACCTGGCTCAGACACCGCCCGAGCCTCCCGCCCCGCACCACCGCCGCCGGCCTCCCAGCGGCCAGGCGCCCCGAGTGGCCCGCGGCAGCTCGGCGCACCCGCTGCGGCACGGCAGGGGCGAGGGAGGAGTGCCACGACGGCAGGGGGCCCCGAGGGATCCTGAGGCGCTTCGGCACCTTTGGGCTCCTGGCGCCCTCCCAGGGCACCGCCTACAGCGCCCGCGGCCCCCAGCTCGGAGGAACAGGTACCCATGCCGCTATCTTTTCCTTGTTCTCCCCCTTTTTGTTGGCCTCCAGGGCGGCCCTCGTCGTCACCGCTGGATTTGCCTCGAAATTCTGGTCAGAACGCACCCTACGAGAGGTCCGGGGAGTAGCGGTATCGGTACCTCTTGGTTTCTCCCAAGCTTCCCTTGGCAGGTGGGCCGTCGGATAGTTCCCAGCAGGTGGGCAAGCCAGCACTGTCGCTGCAGCTGGTTGGAAAGAGCAGTGCGTTCACACAAGACCGACAAGCAAGACCGGTTGGAGTCGTGAGCTGACAGGCATCCCCCGTACATATGCGACCCCCAGATTTCTCGAGGTGGAATTCTGGGGGTTGGCTATGGGTGTGCGTTGTCGGATTAGGGTCCCCGCTCGAACGGGAGCCCTCCTCGGGGCCACCCGTACCCCATAGCGCCTTGATGGCCTTGCCCTCCCTCATTTCTCCTTCCTATAGGCTTGAGCGTGTGCCATTCTTTCACTAAGGAGGGCGACGGGTTTGGGAGAGCTTGGCAGCCGGTCGACCAGGGCCGCGCTCCTAGGGGAACGAAACATGACATAAACATTAAAACTCGAAGGTCCGCACGGATTCCTCGGATCGGCGCTGGGGCCCCCTGGCGGCGCCTCCAGCGCCGCCCCTGGCGCGCTCCGCGCGACAGGGAGGGGAGTCCAGCGCCGATCCGAGGAATCCGCGTAGACCTTCGAGTTTTTAAGTTTATGTCCCCAGCTCCTGCTCTCGAGGAGAGGGCGAAGAAATTTGAGGGCCACGCGCCGCTGGGCTCCGCGCCAGCGCGCTCTCTCGCCACCTGGCTCGGGTCAGAGCTCCCGGCCTGCTCGTGGCCAGCCTGTGCTTCGGGCGCCTGCCGCTGCGCTTTTCGAGAGTCTCGGGGGGGGAGGGCGGAGCGAGTCGGCGGCGAAACGAAACCCGAACCCTGCCCTCGCCGATCAACGATTCAGGCAGCTCGATGGGCGGTGGGGGTAGGGTTCGGAATTCGTCGAACACGTGGCGAAGTCCGAACCCTACCTCCACCTCCCAGCGATTCAGAAGGGTCGATGGCTGATGGGGATTGTTTTCGGACGTCGCATGAGGTTTTTTGGGCCTGGCGCGCTTTGCATCAGCTGCGCCTCGTCGAGGGCGTTCTGGGGCTGTTGGAGTCGTTGCAAACGGCCTGGTGATACCAGCGGTATGGTCCGCAAGCCCTGCGGTCGTGCCGCATTTATTTTGCTGCGTGTCTCAGCATCGTCTAGCCAATCTCCATCCCTACTGGCCACGGCACCTCAGCCCCGGCAGCCTACCGCCCGCCAGGCGGAGATAGGTCCCGCGAAACCCGAAGGGAACAGCCTATATTCCCACGTTAGCGGGGTACGCCGGCCAGTGGGTCCAGGACCATGCCAGTGGGGATGGGGAGCGGATGAACGATGCTCAATTTTGGCTCGCTCGTGCACGGTTTCTGTGCGGCTCGTGTTGAGCTGTTGCCCACGTTCCGCGTGATGTCCTGTCCTCGTCCACGCTCGCCTGGCAGAAGTTTGTTCGTGCCCGCGGGGTTGGCCTCTGATGCTGCCCCTCCCGTAAGTCAGGAGGGGAAAAAACACAGACACAAGTAATCGTCCACTCCCAGGAAAATACGGGGAAATATGGGCAGTGGGATATAGGAAAATATGGGGAATCCTTTTATTTGTGTGTATTTATTTGTGTGTCCCAGGGCCCCTTCAGTAAGCAGAGCGCACGCCGAGCTCTCCAACGTGTGGCGCGCTCCAGAAATGGCCTCGCATTCGAGGGATCGCGAAGTTGACATTTCTTCCCCGGCGGAATGCTCGGGCCGGACGAAAAGGGGGGATTGGGGCAGGGGGGGGTACGAAATTTGCTGCATGCAGCTGGTTTCGGCCTCACCGAGGCGCCCATTCCTCGATACATGGACGCCTCCCGGCGCCGGGAGGCGCTGGGAGAATCAGCTACGTGAGCTGATTCTCACCCCCCCCCTTTGCTATCCCCCCTTTCGCCCGGCCCGAAAGTAAAACGAGGGCGCCTCCGTTGGCAGAGGCCGGCGGAAGTTCGGCGGAAGGCGGCGGAAGCAGAGCCAGCCCCCGATTCAGAGAGGCGAGCAGTTCTGTTATTCGGGGCTTCGGAGTCGGCCATAGTCTAGCATGCTTGTGCTATTATTCGTTGTCTCTCTCTTTTTGTGCGGCCAAGGTCGCTGCCCAATCTGGAGAAGAAGCTCCGCAATGTCTGCGAGCATGGGTGCGGGGGGGCTCTGATGCATGGTCAGGCTCTCAAGTATTTTCACACGTGTAGATACGCAGACGTGAGCGCCGCTCAGCCTAGGAAAGAGAAGAGGTTGCACATATGCTAGTCACAGTCCACCAAACTTGAAACACACGTAAAGCAGATGAGAAACATTCGTGAACACATGCAAGACGCGTGTGAATCACACGTGAACCAAGAGTGAATTATACGCGAAACGCGTGAGCTGAGTGTGGAGCGCGTGTGTGCAACGACCTTGAGTCCCACGAGAGGTATTTATGCATGTGCACATGGAACAGATGTAAGCGAGGCGCCCAACACGCGTGAAGCGAAATTCATACCGATATGGAGCGCATTATCTAACACATGTGGCCGTGTGAAAAGTGGAGCAAGCGTGAGACAAAAGCGATGTGACACCCTTGGAGATACATCACAGTACAAGCTCATTGCAAACGTGGTACCCGTAAACAACCGTCAACCACACACGTTGCAGCTATGGCAGTCAGGTGGTTGCGATGCGAAGCGACTGCGACGCAATTGTTTAACACGTGCGTAACCGAGGGGAACGCAGTTGCATAACACATGCAATACGCTGTCGAAGCGTACCTCCATGGTATAGTAAACATGCGACACTGTTCTGCACAGTACCGACGCGAGATACCAGCGTGAGACAGTGCGACCATGCCGCGACAGTGACTCCGCCTGCGCTTCCGCTCGCGGACGCGACCGAAAAAGTATCCCCACCATTGGCTTCTTTTTCCCTCCACGGGGCCGTCGGCCGTCCCTGACACCGTTTTGGCTTTCGTGCCCCCACCACGTGCGGTCGATTCCCTGGTCTCAGGCCCCGGTCTTCCCCGTGGTGCCTTCGCCCGACTGTCGCCACCTTCGGTGTGCTGACTTCGGGCTCGCGGCCCTGTTCAGGGCTCGTGGTGGGCCATCATGGCGCCACTTCGCGCACTGGTCTGTGGTGACCCGCGCCAGTTTGGCTGCGCGGCAGCTTTGCTGCTTCCCGCACTCGTGCGTTCTGCTGCCTTGGGTCTGTGCGGCTACGGCCACCCTGGGATCTCGCAGCCTGCCAACGCTCTCGCCTCGTCTCGGCACAATTCGACCTTGACCGACGGCCCTTCGGGCCACCCTGGTAATCACGCAGTTGTCCGGGGTTGCGTCCATGCATTAATTTCGGCTTCTGACCCGGGACCCAGGTCGTCGTGTGTCCCGACTTCCTGGTGCTTCCGACGCTATGCATACTTGCGCGCTGGCACTACGACTCAGTTTCAGCTGCCCCCCCACTCGCCGGTCCGCCGCTGAGCTGCTGCGTGAGGTCCCCGTTAGCCGCTGTAGGTGTGGCTACCCTCCGTCGCTTTAGTTTAATTCGTCGCTGCGTGCCCCGCTTTGACTGGACTCGCCGCCGGCGCGCTCGCCCGCGGCCGCTGATTAAAAAGTATCCCCACCAGCCGCCGTCGCCCCCTCGGTGCTTTTCGAGTCCAGGCAACTGTCCGCTGCCTCTTCGGACGGGTTCCCTCTTGCTCCCCCCGGGGCTCGGGCAATGTGGTGACCTCGCTCGACGACCGCGCTGGCCTTGGAGATGGCCAGATGGATTGGTGGCTGCAAGTGCCCTACGCACCACCACCCCTTTTGCTGCCGTTGGTCCACTCCGTGGTCTCTTCGTGTCTCGCGACATTCCACCTGGGTGCTTTGGTTATGATGCGTTGTTTTTTTTTACAAGTACAAGCGGTTCAGCAAGGAGCGGCCGTCTACTACTTGGTCTGAGATCGAGCTGCGGCTTAGCTTTTTGTCATTCTGTCTTGTCTTCCTCTCTCTCTCTCTCTGTCGCTCTCTTCCCGTGTGTCTCTTGTTTCCTTCCTCCCCTGCTGCCGTTCCGCTTCTCGCCTGTTAGCTTTTCGCCTGTTAGGCCCGCTTTTCGACTTCCTGACGGTGCGCGGTTGGTTCCGCGACGTTCACGATCAAAAGGTACCCCCACCAGCCCATACAGAAACGATCGTCAGGTGAGTTGCATTGACACGGGCAGTTGAGAAACATGCAGGTCGACAGCCGCCTTGGAAGCGCTTCGGGGTCGTAAAAACGGGTCGGGAACATGTGTGGAATAGTGTAGCAAATATCTCCATGCAGCGACAGTGCCATTGGGGTTTTCTGGCAGCCTTATTGGAGTTATCTTGGGCCCCCCACGGGGCAATGAGGGGGGCAGAAGGAGGAGGAAGAGGAGGAGGAGGAGGAGAAGGAGGAGGAGGAAAAAAAGAGAAGGAGGAGGAGGGGGAGGAAGAGGGGGAGGAGGAGGAGGAGGAGGAGGAAGAGGAGGACGACGACGAGGAGGAGAAGAAAAAAAAGGAGGAAGGGGAAAGGAGGAGAAGGGAGGGCGCAGGAAAGGCTGGAGGACAAGGGGGACGAGGTGGCAGCCCTGCAGAGGCGTTGTCGAAAGAGGCTCTTTGAAGATTTCTTGTGGCGCCATTATTGGTGCCTTCGCGTGGTGTCCGTGGGGCCTCTCGCAGAACTCCTTGGCCAGCTCATCCGGCGAGCTGCCTTGACCAGGTAATTGAAGAAACGCGCAGTGGAACGTCCGCCTTGGAAGCGCTTTGGAGGCGCAGAGACGGCGGTCACATCTGCTGAGTGCACAGGTGTTGCCCGTGCCGCGCCGGCTTCATTGGGGTCTCTTTTGGGGGCGGGGACACGTGTCGAACGTTGTGAAGACGTGCTCCCGCGCCAACCCGGCTATATTGGACAACGCTGGTAGGTCGTTCTTTCCCGCGGGGAGATCTCATATTGATCGGAGAGCATGACACGGCGGCTTCACCCCGCAGGTGTCTGCCAAGCCTTCTAAAAACGTCCTGAGACCATCTTGGGTGTACGAGGAGGAAGATCAGGAGGAGGAGGAGGAAGAAGAGGAGGAGGAGGAGGAAAAAGGGAAAAGGAGGAGGAGGGGGAGGAAGAGGAGGAGGGGGAGGAGGAGGAGGAAGAGGAGGAGGCGGAGAGGGAGGAACGTGGCACGAAAAAGATTATCATTATTCTTATTGTGATGACGATGATGCTGATGCTGATGCTGATGCTGATGCTGATGCTGATGCTAATGCTGATGCTGATGCTGATGCTGCTGCTGATGATGGTGATGAAAATGTTGATGATAATGATGATGATGATGATGATGATGATGATGATGATGATGATGATGATGATGATGATGATGATGATGATGATGAGGAGGAGGAGGAGGAGGAGGATGATGCTGATGAGGAGGATGAGGAGGATGAGGAGGAGAGGAGGATGAGGATGATGAGGATGAGGATGAGGATGAGGATGAGGATGATGATGATGATGATGATGATGATGATGATGATGATGATGATGATGATGATGATGATGATGATGATGATGATGATGATGATGATGATGATATGATGATGATGATGATGATGATGATGATCACGAGGAGGAGGAGGAGGAGGAGGAGGAGGAGGAGGAGGAGGAGGAGGGAAGAGGCTGCTGTTTCTTGGAGGACTTTGAAGGCCACCTTAAGGGCTCTCTTGGGGTCCCCGTCGGGCCTCTTCGGGCAATATTGGGGCCTCGTGAGGCTCTTCTGGGAGGTCGTGGGGCCCTCCTGTGGCTTTTTGAGTGGGTCTGGGAGGCGTTCTGGTGCAGGCTATGACAAAAGCTTGCAATGCGTTCCAAACGGTTGCATAGTATAACAGGGTCTTGCACGGCATTTGCAGGGTGTTAGCATGGTGTTTACAGGGTCGTTGCAGGGTTGTTGCAGGGTCTTTGCAGGGTGGTTTTGCAGGGTCGTTTTGCAAGGTCGTTTCGCAGGGTATTGCAGGGTCCTTGCAGGTCTTTGCAGGGAGGCTTTGCAGGGGTATGGCAGGATATATGCAGGGCGTCCAGGGGAGAGGGTAGGGAGAGGGGTTTTCTTCGGAAGGGAGAAGACAACACTCGTTAAACCACCTACGCCCAGAGGGCTGGTGGGATTCTCCTCGTCTCCGTCTCCCCCTTTCATTATCACCTCTCCCCTCCTTTCTTTCCGCCCCAAATTTCCCACATTCCCCCCCCCCTTCCTTCCCCATCCCTCCCCCTACCTTCGCTCCCTCCCTTGCCTCCTCCCCTTCCCCTCCTCCATCCGTCCGTCCCTGCCTCCAGCTAGCTGTCACGCCTCCTGTGCACGACCGCCCCCATGCACCACTTGAAGGGGGTGCTCCCCGCCCACCCAGGCATCCTCCGATAAGATACGCTTCTGCGATCCGCGGCCCCAGACGTTCCGCCCCCCCCCCCCCCACTGGGGTATAGATCCTTTCGTGCCCCGGGTCCAGCCTTGGTGGCCCCGGGGCCCGACGATGGGCCAGAGGACGTCTGGCAGCTTCCCCTTCCCGACTTTTGGGGTGTGCGCTGGTGCCTGGCCGCCGCCGTTGGGTGGACCTACGCCCGGCCGCCGCCGCTTCGGCTTCGGCTGCGAGTTCTTCTCGCTCCCCCTCCCTCGCCTTCCTCCTCGCCTCCCTCCTTCGCCTCCCTCCCTCGCATCCCTCCTTCCCTCGCCTCCCTCCCTCCCTCGCCTCCCTCCCTCGCCCCTCTCCCTCGCCTCCCTCGCTTCCCCTCCCTCTTCTCTCCCCCTCCCGCGCCTCCCTCCCCCCCCTCCCCTCCTGGCTCCTCCCTCCCACGGTACACTGTCGGGGGAGCAGCAGGGCCCTAATCAGATTGACGTATCGGCGTGTCGGCGCGGGAGTCATCCGTCCAGCTCCGCTTTCTTGGCGTGGTGCGTTCTGGACTGCGCGCGTTGCTTCTGCCAGCGGACTGCCCGGTTTTGCCAGGGCCCCGACGTTGCACCGAGAGGTCCCAGACAACAACAACCAATTCCTCCAAACAAAAGCAACTAACTGTCCCTACCTCAAGCAGGTGGTCAACTGACCAGCCCGCTTAAAACCAGACGATCGACTAATCAGCCAGCAGACCAGCCAACCGGAGGAGGAGGAGGAGGAGGAGAAACAAAACAAGAGGGAGGAGGAGTCGGAGGAAGAGTCGGAGGAGGAGTCTTAGGATGAGTCGGAGGAGGAGGAGGAGGAGTAGGAGAAGGAGTCGGAGTCGGAGTCGGAGTCGGAGGAGGAGGAGGAGGAGGATGTGGAGGAGGAGGCGGAGGAGGAGGAGGAGGATGATGATGATGATGATGATGATGATGATGATGATGATGATGATGATGATGATGTGATGATGAGGAGGAGGAGGAGGAGGAGGAGGAGGAGAGGAGGAGGAGGAGGAGGAGGAGGGAGAAGAAGAAAAAGGAGGACTGGGAGGAGGGGCGTGAAGAGGAGGAGGAGGAGGAGGAGGAGGAGGAGGAGGAGGAGGAGGAGGAGGAGGAAGAGGAGCAGGAGGAGCAGGAGGAGCAGGAAAAGGAGGAGGAGGAGGAGGAGGAGGAGAAGGAGGGGAGCGAGGGAGGGATGGAGGGAGGGAGGGGTGGGAGGCACTCCTCCTGCGCTTCCCCCCACTCTCCTCCCACGTCCTCCCTTCTTTCTCATCTCCTCCCGCTCCTCTTCCTCCTGCTCTCCCTCCTCCCTCCTGCTCCTGTTCCTCGTGTTCCTCCTATCGCTCCTCCTCCTGCTCCTTCTCCCTTTTTCTCGTCACTCAGCTTCCTCGTCAACCCCCTCTTCTCCCTCCTCACCTCCCTCCTCGCTCGCTCCAAGGTCCGAGGAGGAGGAGGAGGAGGCGGAACAGTGGAGTAGAGAGGGAGTGGGACATGCTGGGAGGAGGAGGAGGAGGAAGTGGATGATGAGGAGGATGAGGATGAGGAATGAGGCATGAATTTGGGTAAGCAGGAGGAGGAGGCGGACAAAGAGAAAGAGCGAGAGGGTGAAAGAGAGAGAGAGAGAGAGAGAGAAAAGAAGAGGCACACACTATATTGATATATGCACGCCTCTCGAGACGCAGAGAGGGAGAGAGGGAGATAGAGTGAGGGAGAGACACACACACACAACACACACCACACACAACACACACAACACACAGCACACACACACCACACAACACACAGCACACACAACACACACCACACAACACACAACACACAACACACAACACACAACACACAACACACACCACACACAACGCAAACAACACACAACACACAACACACAAGACACACACCACGCACAACACACACACAACACACAGCACACAACACACACCACACACTCCACACACAACACACAACACAGAACACACAGCACACACCACACACCACGCACAACACACAACACTTACACCACACACCACACACAACACACACAACACACAACACACACAACACACACCACACATACACCACACACAACACACACCACACACCACACACCACAGAACACAACACACACCACACAACACACACACCACACACCACACACAACACACACAACCCACACACCACACACCACACACACCACACTCAACTCACACAACACACACACATCGCACACATCACACACAACACACAACACACAGCACACATCACTCAACACACACCACTCAACACACAACACACACCACACACACACCACACACACCACACACACCACACTCAACTCACACGCACACACTACACACCACACACACACACTACACACAACACACACAACACACACAGCACACCACACACCACACACCACACAACACACAACACACACCACACAACACACAACACACAACCCACACCACACAACACACAACACACCACCCAGAAAACACAACACACAACACAGGACGCACACCACACAACACACACCACACACCACACAACACTCACAACACACAGCACCCAGCACACAGCACAGAGCACACAGCCACACACACACCCACACACCCACCCAAACACCCACCCACCCACCAACCCACCCACCCACCCACCCACCCACCCACACACCCACACACCCACACACCCACCCACCCAAACACGCACACACCCACACACCCACCACACCACACACGACACAACACCCACACACCCCCACACACCCACCACACCCACACCGCACACCACCCACACACACCACAACCCACACACCACACCCCACACCCACACACCGACACATACCACACACCCACACCCACGCCCCACACCCGCACACACCCCCACAACTCACACACCACAACACAACACGCACACGCACACACCCACACACCTCGACACACACACCGCACCACCCACCCACCCACACACCGACACAACCACACCACACACGACACACCACCACACCACCCACC